CAAACACATAAACAGGAAAAAACTAGGGTTAAAACAAAAAGGCAGCTCTCCCTACCAAAACAGTCTGCACAGCTTCACATGGCAGCAAATTAACAGCACATTCAGTCCTACACACATCGACAGAGGTGTATGGCATACAAATGGTCCAGAGGCCCTGACGTGCAGCTTCACAGGCCTTAAATAGTGTGCAGGTGATCGCCGAATGGACTGAGACCCAGGAAGCAGCGCCCATTCTTAGAGGCAGAGCCTAAAACAGAGCAAGGTGCAAAAACAAAATGACATCCATCTAGGGGATGCAACAATTGTTTTGAACAAATCTAAATCACTGGTCACTTTCTTTGTCTTAGTTGAAATTTTTAAAGTTTATGCCAGTTGTTGTATAAAATTGAACCCGGGCTGAAAGTGTAAAGTTACAAATAGTATTTTAACTGTGAATAAAACTGCCTTAAAATGTTCTCCCTAACTGACCTATAAATCCTTGTTTATATCATCAGACAGTTTGTTCTATGCTTAACCACTAAATATGGTGAACATAACAATTAAACCTGTCTGTGTTTTCTCTGCAGCCTCCAGCCAAGTTCCTCCTGCCTGAGGTCAGCATAGATGATTATGGCAAGAACTGTGTGGTGATCGACCTGGATGAAACCCTTGTACACAGCTCTTTTAAGGTATACTACACCCTCCATTGCTCCTTTATGCTAACGGAATATTTTATTCCTCAAAGAAAGATATAAACAATACTTAAAACTTACGAGAGGTAAGTTAAAAAAACCATCTACTATATGTAGTATGTCTGGTATTGTATCAACAAAAAATACAACCAATTGTTTTGATAGTTGTAAGACAGTGTGAATTGAATATGTCAATATATATTTATCAACTTCAAATGCATCAAAAAACACTTTTTTATTTACATATTAATTAATTTTTTTTCATCGTGGACAATAAAAAATTCATTTCAGTTGTCACTCTCCCAATATTTTTAGTAATATAACATTTAAAAACCAACAGGCTTAAATTGGAAGGCTTTTGCTCAGGTGGGAGTCAACAGAAAAACTGAGTGGAAGTCTTGTTGCCTTCCAATTTAAGCCTATTTGTGGTTGCCATGACCTAGATGACTAAGAATTTACACAGGCAATATAACAGTGAAGTTCGTTCAACCTATGGGTATATTTTAAAGATGAGCTAACTATTATTTCCAAGATCGATGGCATCTGAACAACGAATCAAAGTATGAGACATAGACAATGCTGAAGACAAATTTTGTTCCAAACTAGTCATATTCTGACCTGCTGTATAAAAGACAAAATAATGTGCGCTACAACCAGCCCAGACTAGCTTCTATCTTTAGAGGGTGGCTGGACTCAAAGGTGTATTAACACTAAACACTAATGCAGCAAATGGAGTAAGTGATTTATATGTTCCCCCCTGCTTAAAGTGCTTTCAGGAGCGAATCGACGGTCGGAGATGCCAAGGCGCAAAGTGGAACAGCTATAGGAGCAGTGAATCTGCGGATAATTCAAACATCTGAACTATTCTGTCAATTTGCATTGATTTAACTGGTCATGGACTGAATGTAGTTGCGACTTTGGTTAATTAAGTGCAGCAGAGATTAAGCTTTTTTCAGGCAAAAACTTACCACTGGTTGATATGATCCCTTGCTTCACTAAAGCAGCTCCCAATGCTGGGTCCCGAAAGGAAGTACTGCTGTAAGCAAACATCCAGGTGTATTTCATGAGGCAGTTGGCTAGACTACCGATAAGATCTGGTGGACCCAATGATGCTGGTGCTTAAGTCATAAAATCATGTAGTGGTTAGCCAAGGTTAAAGGGTTGTTTTAATAAGAGATAGAGAGGAAATGTGAGGCAACCAGTGGCAGACAAACCACACAGCTTTAGAGACAAGCTTTAGAGCTTTAGAGACAAACAAAAGCTCTCTCTCTCATCTAGTGCTAGGTGAAAGTATAGCGTCTCTAATTGTCTGCATTAAGGTGGAGATATAATAGCAGGACTGTGTGTACCTTGCGCGAGCCCATAGAAACGCATTGCACCTTTTTGGTTGACGCAGATTTAGGCGCAGTACTCGCGAAAACCACAAAGGGGCAGGGTTCAAAATAACAAGCAGAAACTCAGAAAAAGTGAAAAGGTGTGTTTAAGGCAGCTACACAGAAATAAATGGTAGAATAAAATGATAGGTTTACCTGCTGCACACAGAGAAAGCTGACGATAGGGAAAGCAGCCTGCCTATAAAGCCCATGCGGATCTCTTTCTAAATAACAGATATGAAAAAAATGTGTTTTATTATCCACTGTTGGTAGTTGTTTTAAACTTCAGTTATGCTGCCGGTGATTGTTTCTATTGGCTAATAAACTTACAAATTGCTGTCACAGTAACAACATGGCATTTACCAAAACTTTGCCACTTAAACCTTCTGGACCATTTGAGATCAGTACAGGCCAACTTCTTCAAACCAAGCTTTAAATGGAGTGGGTTAAGGTGGTTCAGCCACCTCTGAGCTATAGTAAATTTTCATAATCTTCTTTATTATTTCTTTGTTTTGCACAGGTGTCTGTATTCAAAAATGGCTTATAGGGCATCACATTCTCACTCCCAACTCTTTCAATACTGATGCTTGGTCAAACCCCCTGCACGTTGCATATTGACACGACTGGGTACCCCTCTCTTCATTTATTGAAATGCACTGTAAATGACAGGTTGCGAACATTGCATCACCTGACCGACACATGACCAGTGATTTAATTTTAGCTCCAACTCTAGCATTCGTAGCTGTAGGAGTGTATGATGACATGTATACAAGTGTTTCATTAGGTTTAGGGGTTGGTGTGAGCCTGTCATGTACACTGCATGTCAATAAATGAATAGAGGGGCTCCCCTGTCACATCAGTATCTGATCCACAGGGGATGTGAGTGAGACTTTTTAGCATCGGGTACAAAAGTATATTTATAGTACATCATAAATTTGAACTTTGTTTTTTTCTATGCAAGGGGTTGGCAACCCGTGCCTCCAGAGCCTCCCGAGTGCAGCTCTTTAATGCCTCCCTTTCAGCTCCCTGGAGCTTTTTTTAAAATGTAATAAAATGGAAAAATATGGATTTTTTTGTTTTTGTTTTAATATGTTGTTTCGTGTGCATGAGGTCAAACAAGTATTCATTATGTTTCTAATGCTGTAAATATTTGTATAATAAATACATTTAAACAATACATTTTAACATTTCTGTCAATGAAGATTTGCGTCATAGCCTGCAACACATGTTTCAACACGGTGTGTTGCCAGGCAGATGGCTGTTGTAAACAAAACGGCTGATGTGTCGGGTCATGAATCCCAAAGGGAAAAAAAGCAGGATAGGTGATGAGAACAGAGGATTCTAAGAAGAATGGACAGAATCATTGGCCTTCATTACCAATGCGGAAGGATTGCCTGCATGTTTGCTTTGTAAAAAGAAGTTGTCAAGAAATAAAAACAGTAATTTTGAAAGGAATTTCCAGTGAACACATGATAAATATGCAGCCAACCACCAAATTGAGAGTGAGAGAAAAGTGAATGCAATACTTCTTAATAAATCACAGCAAAGCAAAGATAGTGCTGATATTCCACTACTGCTGCTAGTTTTGTTGCAAGCATGAAAAACCATTCACAGATCAAAAAGGTAGCTCTCTTATGCAGGTATGTTAAATTTCTTCCACCCCCCCCCCCCCAAATCCTCAAAATAAAAACAACACCAAAAATTTGATTTCTTTATTGTGTTTCTATAATTTCATCAATGCAACAAAATCTAATACATTAATATTGCACTGGAATTTAAACTTAAAGCACCGACAGTAGTCACATGATGTGACATTTGCCTCTGGATAAATTTAATCTTTTTATGCTAAATTCTTATAAGCCCACATAGTCTTTTTTTATAGTGTGCTAATACACTTAGAGCCTGTGTTGCCATACAAGGCTTATATTAGGCTCCTGACAGATTTGTTTTTTCGGCTCAATATGACTATTTTAACAGTTTAGGTTGCCGATCCCTGCTTTACGCCTTGAACGGAGGACAAGATTATCACATGATATATAGACAAATATACAGTAGATACTAGACAGTTAGGCACAGATCCTTCATGAATACTATAGCGTTTCTTTTTGCTTATATCAAAAGAAAGTAGCGCACGTGTTTAGCTTTCATACACAGGCTGTACATTATTTACATTTAAGGTTTCATTTCAACCAATTAAAGAGGTTGTTTTTTAATGCTCCCTTATGTTTTAATGGCACTTAGTGTTTTACACCTGGTGACCCATTTCCTCATCACTCTTCATCAGTCAGAGCTTTTCTTATTATTTCTGACTTCTACCAAAAAAAATCACTTAAATTAAAATCCATTGATTCATAAGCAACTAAAATGCCAAAGTAAAGATTCTTGTTGGATTTACAGCCAGAAGTGAAAAGCAATACATTTCTGTTCAAGTGGAGAGGCTTTTCATGAGACTAGAAGCTGAATTCCACATTTGCTGTGAAATGTCAAAGAAAACTATGCGCACACACCCATGGTGATCACAAGCCACAAACACATGTGCTTTTTCAGACATAAGGGTGTGTCCTTTACAGTGTACTGTTGCATTGAACGGCTGTGGCACGAATTTCCCAGAAATCCAGGATTAGTTTGTATAAAATGTTTTCATTTTTGTCAAAGCGGGTCTCATTCTCATACTCTTAAACGCTCCATCCATGGAGAATTAGATTGCTTTAGAGATTATACAATTTTTGCTAGATGCAGGCAGTTCAGGATGGACATTAGCTGATTGTTGGAAAAGAAGGACGATAAAAACAACACTTTTGCAGGGTTTACAGTTCCGTTCAGAGCCCTGCAGGATTTCCTTCAGGTTTCCTGTTCAGATGTAATAGTGATTTGAATAATGTGTGTTTTTTTCTAAGGCACCAGAATTGAACAATAAGTGCAGGAAAAAGAAAAACGACACAGGGACGCAAATGATGCACAGATGGACATAGACTAAAAAAGCAGCATTATGTAACACGTTGCATATTCTGGTTTATCCTGCATGTTATGGATGAGGGGATAATTCCCAGGCTCGTTCTGGGATTAGGAGACACTGTGTGCTAGACATGCCAAAACAGCAAAAAGGATTATTTACATCATAACAAATTACGTTTATTCCACTGATTTGAACATGTGAGTACATGGAATCCAGATCTAAGGATCAGCTTAACTAATGCATCTGTGATCTGTGGCAATAGTTGGTCGCTTTTAAGAGGTCATAAAAAAAAATATAAAAATCCTGTTTTAATATGTTTCACTGCAGAGCCTAACATTTGATTGATTAGTAAATATGTTCCATTTGTATTAAGTACCTCAGTATGAAAAATGAATAATTTCATATTTTTTATATAGTATATAGTGCCTTACACAAGTATTTACAGTAAGTATTCATTTCACATAATAGTTTATCTAATGATCTGTCAGACTGGATGGAAACAGCAAATCTTCTCCAGTCTTGTCACAAGTTCTTCAATGTATTTAGGTCTGGACTCTCTAAATCAAATTTAGCTAATTTTGTTAAAGTCCCCTACAATATTTTTTTAACAAAACATTGGGGCAGATAAAAGCTGTCAACAATGTTCATATTTTTTTCCAAACATTTATTCCCTCAAATAAAATATATTCGTCTTCTATGTAAAAAAACAAAAACAAAAAGAACCTCCCAACCTAAACTCTCCCATGTTGAGATATTTAGGAATTCTTCTTTCTTAGAGTTACTTAATCCAGACCTACTCTCGTTATTACACACTTCACCCCTTCCCTTTTATCTTCCTTTTACTTTCGAGCATCTCACAGCCTCTTATCCATGAGCAGCTGTTATATGTGCAGTCTTCCGATGAAGGAGCAATTCAGCAGAAGAGCAATAACCGAAGGAGTAGAGAGAAATCTGCTTTTCTGATCCCCACCCCGCCCTACCATGTTTGCCCTTTACTAGGTTGTAACTAAAAAAAAACAAAAACACATAAAGCATAGTTTTCATGGTAGAAAGCACACTAGGTCTAGATTCTCTTATAGCTCATTTCTAGGTTGTGTTTTAAACAACTTATCAATTGCTTTGTAAACCCTACATAACAGATTTAGGGGGACATTTAAGTATTAAATTGAAACAGTTCTAAAAATGTTGATCAATTAAAGAAATCACTTACCTAATACCTAGGAACTTTAATTTATGAGGTTTGTGAAAACTAAAGGCATGCTGATCACTTTTAAAGCAAACACCCCCTCTGCTGGATGGCATTTAACTTCAAACTGGACCTTTATTTTGCCTTAAAGCCATAGGCCTTACAAATACATTTAGTATTTTAGGCTAGCTTTTATGTTTAACTAGGCTGCTATAATGATGCTAATAAAGAGGCCCACGATAAAGATATATATGTATATATATTTTTAATAGATCTGCAAAATCAAAACTAAGCTTTTTCTTTGCTTGCATTTTTTTTTTTCAGTTGCATTCTGCCTTCTGAAAACTTTGGTGGATTACATTCATGCCAGAGTGTCATGATAGAACTTTCAGCATCCCAGAATTTACAGTGACGTAATTCACTTTTATCATAGACTCCACCAGGAAAACTTCAACAACTCCAATGCATTTAAGAAGTTAATCATATCAGGATGAACTTACATTATTTGTATTTAAAGGGTTCATTACTATCTAAAGTTACTGTTTATTAATCTGCCATTTTCTTCTGGACAGCAAATAGGTGACAGCTAGAGCACTTAGTCCCCTGATAGCATGCATAATCAGATTTTTTATCTGTCACCTCTTTCTCTTTTTCCCTCTTACCAAAATTACTGTGCCTCCTACCTAATCATTTCATCCTTGTCTTTACATCCTCCTCTCATCTTCCACCCACGCCCCCTCTGGTATCTGTCTTTCTCTGCCTACTGCACCTTCTTCTTTTCCTGCTCCCGCTTTTTAAAATGACGTAGAGAAAATAGCAACTCTCCTGTTCGCCTTCACATCTGTCATCTTCTTCGGCTCCCAAGTTCCTCTCCAGAGTACTGGTTTTTATTTAACACTTATAGAGCGCTGGAGCAAAGGGAGCCACATGATGACTAGAATCATCTCTTGCCTGAGGCACTTTTGCAGGACTCTTTTATTTATTTTTTTCTCTATAAAACATGATATAGGAGTATAGCTGGGTTATCTTTTTGTGTGTGTAAAAAAGAAAAATACAAGATTTTGTGATCATCTTGTTCTTTTTATGTCTTCCTGCAGCCCATCAGTAATGCAGATTTTATCGTCCCAGTAGAGATCGACGGCACTGTTCATCAGGTAATGCCGCTGAGATGTTAAGGACTTTCTTTTGTAGGCATGAATATGTTAACTCTGTGCTGTCTGCTTTCATTTATTAGGTTTTTTACCCTGGGAGACTTCAATCAGTTTTATTTATTTTTTTCTGTATTTGTCATTATCTGTTATTTCACATCTACTGTGCTTAATGTAAAATCATTCTAAACCTCTTAGTAGACTTTGCTTGTTTCAACGTCAGATGTCCCAAAACTTGTTGAAGACACTATTGGTCATGCAGAATTTTTTTCACCATGAATATGATTTCACACTTTCGACAGACTTCAGAGGAAGGAGAACGTTTCAAGACTGTAGCTATAACCTGGTTCAAGTAATCCAGGATAGGCTTTGTGGGTCTACTTCAGCCTATCCTTGACTACTTGCGCTTGGGAGCAGCAACTAACCCACAAAGACCTCCTGAGCAGAACAGCAGAGACCCCAAATATGGATACAAGATGTTTTTCATGCAGTTAAAATATGTGATTTCATAATCCCACTCTGTGTTGTGATGCAACAGGTTTCTTGTGAAAATCAATCACAAGCTGAAATACACTTGGGTTTCAAACAGTTTTGCCTCACTTAAAACAAATTTCAGACTAGTCAGTGTCGTTTACATTGCAATAAAACAGGACAAGGATATTGTTAAATATGAAATCAATCTACAATAGCAGAAATTGCAAAATTAATTTATTCAAATGAAGTTTCATTTGTAAAAGATTGTTAAATGTTATGCTTAATAAAAGTTATTTACACATTACCATCTTTAGCAAATTGTTTAGCCTCTAATTCTGTTTAAAAGTTTTTATTAGAATTTAACTCGATCTTGGATAAATAAATGAGAAGTACTAAAGAACTTTTATAAACTTGCGGTTTAGAAAGCTTACATTTTAGACTGCCGCATTTGTATCCAGCTTTAATTTGTTTAGCAAAAAAGCTGAAGGAAAACTTGTTAGTGTGATGATCTTACTAATTCTAAGGCAGTCATTAACAAAGAACATTTTAGCTGTGAATGTTAGTGAAAAGGCTAAAATACAACCTTATTTGGATATACTGTGAAACATTTTACTAGTTACTGTAAAGCTATAGTGAAGGATATTCTTTTCCCAGGTGGATCATCAAAATAAGTGGTCCTCCTAATTGTCAATCATTCTGGTGATATGTTTAGTTAAGGCCGTCTTACGTGCTTTTCACCATTTTCACTTACTGGTGGTGAGCTTGACATAGTGGAAAAAATTGCAAATCTTCTTTTGGAAAGTAAGCTTGTATGAGCGATGCAAACAGCAACTTTTAAACAGAGCATGCACAAGGAGAAATACTGTATGTTATTGCACACGTTTAATAGGCGTTCCCTCTTACAGTAGGTACAGAGTTGTGCATGGGCATTTGTTTTTCTAAAGTTTAGAGGGCGGGTCTTTTTGAAAATTCGCAAAAATCCTCCACTATAGGGGTAAAAATTTAACAAATTTTACCATATATTTGGCTTTTAAATATTAACTTCAATTATTGATTTCTTTAGTTGCTTTCAGTTACATCATACTCAGAAATTTAAGAACATTTCAAATAAAACATATCCAACATCTTTGATCAGTTTTGTAGCAGAATTGTCTGTAAGTGTAATCATGTAAATGCAGGTGCTAGTGATGAAACCCATTCTTATGACAAAAAAATCAAAAAAGAAAGACTGCTTTAGCTTTTCTCTTGAACCGGTTTAACAAAGGCTTCAACTTACCCCCCTGGATTAACCTGATTGGTCAAAGGAAGTCAGTGAAAGGTATTCACATAAAGATTTTTTCATACTGCCGGTTATCTTTGTTATTAAAAAAAATAAAATAAATATGAATAGACATTTGAGTTGCAGAATTAATGGCAGTTTCTTTTTAATGATGCAAATGAAAAAAAGACTCACAAAAATGTCTTCTATTTAAAATGAAGGAGTAAGATTTCTTTCCAAATATTGTATTCAGGTATATGTGTTGAAGAGACCCCATGTTGATGAATTCCTCCAGAAGATGGGGGAGCTGTTTGAATGTGTTCTCTTCACAGCCAGCTTGGCCAAGGTTGGTTTTTATGATACTTCCACACAAGCTACAGTCATTTTTGTTTTCATGCCACATTGATCATTTCTCTCGTTCTGGGTCTGTTCAGTACGCTGATCCTGTGGCAGACCTGCTGGACAAGTGGGGGGTGTTTCGCAGTCGGCTCTTCAGGGAATCTTGTGTTTTCCACAGAGGAAATTACGTCAAAGACCTCAGCCGGCTGGGTCGAGAGCTCCAAAAAGTCATCATCATAGACAACTCGCCTGCCTCGTACATCTTCCACCCTGAGAATGCAGTTAGTCATTATTTCACCCTTTTTATGGAAGCCTTCATTTACCTTAGAGTCCAACATACAGGGAAGCAAAGACATTATCTGGGGGTAAAGGACAAAAATCCATCCAATTTATTTATTTTCTTTCCATCTCAACCCTGTTTAGGGTTGGGGAAGGAATAACACCAAGGAGTGTATTTTGGGGTACACCTCATACATATAATCATCCATGGTAGATCCAAAACAGATGTTAGAATGCTTAAGGGCATTTTAAATGCATTTAGACTTAGACTTAGACAAACTTTCTTGTCATTTTGTATACATAAAGACAGTGAATGAGCTGCAGCTCAGCAATGAAAAAGAACAATAAAGTGCAGCAGTGATCAAATGTGCACAGTGTGGGAGAGACGGTGCAAAAAGGCATTGATGTGGAAGATTCCGAGCAGTGCAAAAATAAATGAATGGGTATGGTTCAAAATGCACTAGAAGACATTTGTGTTGGCTTAGTTTGGCTTTGCACCTTAGAGAAAAATAGGAATATCAAAAGTAGTATTTATGCACAGGTATAGCATAAAAACAGAACCTTAGCATGGATTTGAACTTACTGCACTAATATCTGTCAACCTCTATTGTCTACCTAAAGCATTCTGATTCAAATAAAGAGTGTATAAACTTGTGTTAGAAATAAAATAAGTTACTTATTAAGTTGAAGTAGTGTAAGTGAAATTAGAATGTAGACATTGACAGTTTTTTCATCTGCATATTTAAGCCAGAACCCTGTTTCTCAATTTTTAGACTTCTGTGCTTCATGGAGAACTCGCTGCAGCTCTTTCAGCCTTTGATATATTTCTGCCTATCAATTATTTACGCAAAACTCACACCGGCTTCTCACACATCATGCAAGACCTCAGAAACTGTTCTTAGCTTGGTCCCTTTGCTCACTCTAAAATCAAAGCTAGTCTTTTCTCTCTCTTCAGGTCCCAGTGCAGTCCTGGTTTGATGACATGACAGACACAGAGCTGCTGGATCTGATCCCTTTGTTTGAGGGTCTCAGTAAAGAGGAGGACGTTTACAGCCCTTTACAGACCTTGAGGAACAGGTAGCAGAAAAGAAAGTGCTTCTTCAGGGGGAAGCTTCACCTCTCTGCCACGGTCCTTCAGCCCCGCTCCCTTTTTCCTATCAGGAGGGCAGCCAGTCTGAGCATTCAAGGCAAACTGCTTTGAATTTTAAGAAAAATCATTTCAATGACTGTGGATTCTTTCCATCTGTTGTCTCCTGGATTCATTCGACAGGACTCATGCTGATAAAATATTATTATTATTACTGTATGTACATAGTAAATGTTTCTATGAGTAAGATACACACAAAATAACTTTTCTATCAGAGAGAGGCAGTTTTACTATTCTATCAAGAGTCTATCAAGTAATATTTTAGTTACCAAAAAATAAAATCTAAGTCATGTTTTATTTTTTTTTTTCAAGATCGTATGAGCTTTACTTTCTTTGTGTTGTGTGTTTAGTTTCAACAACTGTGATTTTAACTTGTCTTACAGAATGAAGTGCCTTCATTACTGTGCTGATTTTAGTTCACTTTTTTAAAAGGTTAATTAAAGGACGGTGGGTAGGGGGGGTTGAATTGGAAGTATTTTAAATTTGTAAATTTAAAAATGTATGTTGCAAACAAGCTTTTGTAAAATGAAAAAAGTCTGATATTTATCAAAACTACCCTGTTTTGTTTTTTTCCTTAGCATTAAATTGATAAATTCGCCAAAGACATTTGCAATTTAATGTGGTCTCTGTCTCATCAGCAGTAAAGCTCTGACCCACATCAAAACAAAAGTCCTGGTTTGTTTAACAACAAAAAATAAAAAGAACAGGTTTGTGATCACTGCTAGATGTTAACTTCCTGATGAATCTTAGAAATGAAAGAAGTTTGCTTAATCACTTTAAATTAATGAGGTTTAAGATTTTATCAGGATATGAGTATTGGGTTTATTGTGAAGAAATGCTGTTATAACTGTACTGTACAACATGATTAAAGTTGCAAGTTTGCACACTGTCGAGTGTTATCACGTTTTTACAAAACTCCTGCATTTTTTGCAAAGCATCCATTAAGAATAAGTAATTTTTATGCATATGTATATATTAGGATTTTTCACAGCTTGTGCCTTATGATATTCATATTTATATATTTGTTTTTATTTTCCTAATTGAAATTCAGATTTTTTTTTTTTTATGAAGTCAGACGGCTATGTGGCCTGCAAAAATGTATGACCTTTTTTTGTACAGTGCCCCAAAGTGGCATATCAACGCACAATACAAAGGTCACCCATAGTAAAGTGACCAACCTGACAACGATGTGTGGAGGTATCTGGATGACAGAAATGCAGAGAAGGAAAGGCAAATTTAATAATCCAAACAGTGGCAACCGAAAAAAATCCAAAAACGACAAAATACAGAAAATCCAAGAGACATCTGGGAAAACACATTAGGAGCAAAGAAACTGTGTGCAACCAGCAATTAGAAACTGCTCATGAGGGGTATAAATGAGAGACTGAACAAAGACCAGGCTAATCAGCAGACGAGGAGCAGGTGTGGATGGAAGAATCTAGAAGAGACCGAGGGGACGGAGACTAACACAAGGGGACAACAGAGGGTAAACAAGAAATACATAAAAACTCGAAAACAACAGGGAATGGGAATGAAACCAATGAAAACTCAAAAAGAAAACTTAAACCGAACCAAAACCATGACAAGCTATAGGGGAGTTACCAACTCCATTGTGGGTGTATAAAGTAGAAAATGTTTAGATAACTGCTGAGAACTAACAGACTAGCACACTATCCATGCATTTACAAACACGCAAGTCCAGTATATCTGCCTTTACTCATAATGGAAAAAAACATCATTGACAAAGGCTGTAGCACTAAAATTCTGCCAACAGTCTCATAAATAAAACTGCTTAAATTATGACCAGCAAAAATCTATGAAAAGAAAGAAAAAGGTTTAGCAAGCAAAAAAATATTAGAAACTACATAACAACTCTATAGACACTTTTATTAATTTTTTTCCTAATAATGAGTGTTCTTACTAATTCATGAGTTGAATAACAAGAAGGACAGGTAAAAGGCCCAATTGCAGATTAATGTTTTTTGCATAACAACTGTATGAAACAATGCCATAAGATAGTGACAGAGAGGAGATTTATCTCTTATCAAAATAAATGACCTTTACTTGTATAGTGCTGTATGAAATCCGAGTGCCTGAAGCATGGGTTAAATGGTACCTACAGCAGGTTTGCAGTAGACAAACAGAAGTGAGGCTGCCATACATTCAATGAATAAAGATAAACTGAGCAGGGGCTCAAAATGGCCACCTGGTGGTTGCCAGACAAATGCCTGCATCCTGAGCCACTCAAACAATAGTATAAAAAATATTATGTATAATATATAATACTTTTTATCACTGATTTCTCTCTGAAAAAGCAGCATCTTTATGTATATCAGTGCTGCTGCTTGTTAATTTGTTTCCCTTTTTTAAAAGACAAACTAATTTTCCTCTTAATGATTCTGATTAAATCAAAAATAGACAAATTCAAGTTGGCATAACACCACTATTCTACTAATAATGAAGGAATGGTCTATCCAGATTCAGGAAAGGCATTGTTGCAGGGAGGGCTTTTTTCTCATAAATAGCATTGCTGGACAGACTATTGTTTTAGTCTATGCTACTTTGATTTCTGACACCCCAAATATGTTGATTCGCTCACATTCTCTCTGTCATTGCATCTAAATATACTTTTTACAACCATGACCACAGACAATTTTGCATCCAAGTTTCAAATGTACCGAAAGAAGCTTAAGCGGAAATTCAATCTGAAAAGACTCTGATCACCTTCATCTGAACCACCTGCAATGTCCCTCATCCAGGTTCAGCCAATCAATGCCAGGGCCACACCTTCTCTTAAGCCAAACATCTTTCAACATCTCCTTCATTTAGCTCCAGCCCTAGCTTCCCTCCAGCACGCCAACAAACTTTCACCCACCTCCACCCGATCTCCTCCCTCACTCTCGGATTATTCTCAGTCCCACTCAGCCTCTGGCTTATTCCACCACCAGTGTCAGGGCCCTAAAGTAAGACTAATCTAATCATATTCTAGGTTACTCATCCAAGGGAATGTCAATTCACACAAAGTCTTCTGCGGGGGCCCGAGCACCAAATAAATTATTTATTTCACATCAATAAAACTTGTATAGTTACAACTTTTCTCTATGTGAGTCTCTCCAAGTAGAAAAATCGAGGTAGAAACTGCAGCCACAATCAATTCCAAGTTTGATAAATTGCTTTACGATTTGTAAGTATTTATATTTGCTTATCCTCCCTCCAGTATTTTGCATGTTTTGTTGAACAGGATATGTCTGCATCTGCCCTTTTGCTTATGTTACCATATGCAGGCCAGGCTGCAGCTGATTAGTAGATCAGCTTTGCCCTGTTATTAAGATTGCACTTTTTTTTTTTTTTACATGCAAACCTTTGTTAGATGTAATCTACCCTGGATGGAGACATGGGTGTAACGCAGCTACAATCTTCAATCCATTATCAAAAATAACTAACAGGCTTTTCCGACCGTCCTGAAAGGGCCCATGAGGGCATTTTTCTTCCCAAACCATCGAAATTCAATAATAGTGTTGCACGCAGATACATTATGACTGTTATCAAGTTAGTCAATTCTTTTAATAAACTCAACTCTCTTTCATTTCTGTCCAGAACTTTTTATTCCTGTCCACATTTTTTAAAAGACATCTTTATTTTCACAATAAAAAGCTTGGAGTCATGGAGGAGACATTAAACCAGAGGCAGCAAGACGGGGTTTTCACAATTTCATAATTACTCATCGTTCACACTCAGAACATTGTTTTCTGTATTGTAATAGATAACACAGTATGAAGGCCATATGTTAGGGCAGTAACAGACAGCTTTCTTTATATTGATTGATTTTGCATATCTGTGCTATCGCACTGAGCTAAAGTATTGATGTGTTAAATGCTGCGTCACCTTTTATGGTTGTGATATTTGATTAAATTATATGACTTTAACCTTGTTACCTTGTCATTCTATTTTAAGCACTAAGTAAGAATTTGCCCACATGAATTGTTTTTTCCTGAACATTTCATCTTCGGTGTTGAGTGTCATTAATGATCTGGCTAGTTTGAAGGTCAATATATAAACTTTGTCAGCTAAAATGTTAGATCACAATTATTGTGATTAGGTTAAGTTTTGTTTTTTTCAGTTCATGCTCTAAAAAGGACTGCAGACCCAGGTAAGATGTGAAAGTTTTAAGACAGTGAATACAGATCAAAGATCGTAAATAAATCAAAACTGAATTTACCCTTGAGGGAACTTTGTGTGTGAATATTTAAGATTAAAAATGGATTAAAACTAAACTAGTAAAAGTGGGCCTCAAGTCATCTATGTTATGTTTTTGTTTTTTTGAGCTTTTTGTACGTGCATAGTTAGAACTGAAGTGGGTCCCCTGGTGCGGTACTCTAGAAAAAAGTAACGCAACCGTTTTTGTTGTCTGCTTAATTATATTTAGTTACCTTAATAGAATTGTTCCATGTCCTACCCTGCTAACATGAAACAATTGTGTTACAGTGACTAAATATGATTAAGTAGATGCCAAAAGTGGTTGTATTATTTTCTTTAAATGACTTAATAAATAATGAAACCTTCTCTACAGGAGTAAGGCCTCTGTACATGGGCCGTGGCCGTCCTCTATGTCTTATTGAGGAATCTTCAGAAACTTTATACCATCATTAAAAACAACGTAAACCAGACAACAGTTGCACCTTTTGCAATAATTATTTAGGACTTTAATGAAATTGATCCCACAAGGAGATTTTTATGTTGCATAAGTGAGCAATAAAAAATATCTGTACTCATCTGTTTAGCTTATACTTAAGGAGAAGATATCATATGGCTAATGATTTAATGTCAGTGATACTTTTATTATTGACCATCTACTATGAAAGAAAGACTTGACAAATAAAATTGCTTTATATACGAAACTCAATTTTCTCTACAATATTTATGCCAACTTTGATCATCCTAGCTTCTCAGACTTTACCCAACAGACAATGGGTACAATTTGCATATAGTGTTAAATTAAACAGATATTTTAACTCTATATGGAAACTTTAACAATAGCTTATTAATGCTGATAATACAGTACACCTGTCATGCCTCTTATCTCATGCCAGCTCTACTGTGGTTCCCCCCAATCAGAAAAACAAATGTATGATGTATTATCTGCTGTTAAACAGTTACAATCTTCTACTTATTTAATGAATCTCTGTGCAGAGGAACAGAGACAAAAAACATTATATTCTGTAATCACTATTCAAATTTTAAAATGATCTGATTCTGTAAAAAACAGTGCAGATAAAGATCCCCCAAATTGTTCTATTGCGAAAATTTATATAAAAGCAATTGAAGTAACAGTACTGTTTAGTTTTTATCTAGCATTGCAGAGACTGGCACCAAATAGCAGAAATATTGCAAAAACCCAAGTAAATATGCTTTTATCATAACAGAAGAATGTTAAATTTACACCTTATCTACTGGATTATGAGTCGTGACTTTTCAAGATTATTTCTTACAGGTTTATCAGTCTCTCAAAAGATCTAGATCTCAACTTGTAATATTATTGAAAAGGTAACTATGAGGAGTAAAGGCACTATTTATAGATATGTATTTTTAGATTTGATATGATCCCATTTTCTTCATTCAAATACAGTCTTTGCACATGGTGAGGCATTGCACAAGGCAACAGCTTTGTCCACTTTATAATGATTTTTTAAATGTCCCTCTAATGATAAACTCAGCACATAAAAACACTTTTGCTGAGCTGTGCAGACTGCACGGTTCAGCCCCATGCAGGTGCATTAATTGCACCATTATAACCTGGTTAATGTGCAACCAAGTTAAGATGTGGACTTTTGGCTTCCGCTTACGTTGCTGGAACTGCACTGGTGGATTAGGCATTACAGGGCTTATTGTTGAAGCCTGCAGCATTCCTGCTGTTGGTGTTTCCTTCTAACCTTCAACTTTTCCACTTAGATATGAAAGGACCAAAGTTCGTGATGTGCAAAAGT